GCTTTCATGACTTCATGGAGGCCTTTGACATCCGTTCATCCTTGACCTTGGAGATAATATGTTTAAAAAATCTTAACAACTGAAAGCACACTTTGTAACATTTTCTTACAAAAGACTTCAAGCATTTCACAACCCGCTGAAATTAGAAAAATCTACCAGCACTGATGAAGACCACTTCCTGGGTTAGTAAGTTTAAGATGAAAAAAGTAAATGATGTTAGAAGTGATGCTTCACTCTGGATTGTTTTCTGAAAGTACTAGTTAAAAACTATATGAGCTTTAATGCGCGGCAAAAAAATTATGTTTCGGAACAAAACCTTTTGCGACCAGAGTTTGTACGTCGTGGGCGGGGCTTACACCGCGGAATGAACCAGGAGTTCCTATTGGTGGACGACTGGCCGCTCGGTGTCTGCTTCCACCATTAAACTCTGACGGGAGAAGACGGTCACGAGCAAGGTGGCATAAAAAGCTGTAGTATAAAATGATTCTGGAATATTTGGTTTGTTTTACTAAAGAATAGAAAAACAAAGAATTAGCACAAGTTAAACACATTATAATACAGAACTATACTCTTGCCGACAGCCATTCTAACCTTTCAATCGCAAACAATTAGAATGATTGGACATACCTTCAAGTTCCAGGAGGAAATGCTCAATTACATGACAGTTGCGTAATTGCACCGCTGCCATTAAGGTGAAAATCCGACTAATGACACATTCAACCGGCTCATGAGTCCACGGCATGTTTTCACTGCGGATCTCTCCATCACCTGACTTTGTCCCTGAGGTTCTTCAGGTGAAATCAGGGACAGGAGATGTCGTCCAGCCTCCGTGGCTTCACGTGCATCATACTGTAAAGGTATTTTAGATGTATGGACATGGTAAAAGGACGTTACAGTGTACTGCACAGGCTGTATTGAAAGAAATTAAGCTATTACCTGAGGTGACAGAATCAATGTAATGTTTGAGCGTTTGATCATTTAATGAAAAAGAGGAAGAAAATGATGTCTAACTTTTGCCTCACCTTTCCTACATGCTACCACAACATGAAAACAAAGTAAAGTATTTAAAATAATTTTGACAAAATACAAAGTCAACTTACCTCTGTGTCGCTTGTGACAGTCGCCTCCCGTCAGAGTTTACTGGTGGAAGCAGACACCGAGCAGCCAGTCGTCCACCAATAGAAACTCCTGGTTCATTCCGCGGTGTAAGCCCCGCCCACGACGTACAAACTCTGGTCGCAAAAGGTTTTGTTCCGTTTTTGTTTCGCAGCCAAAAATTCTAGTTTCACAAGCAAAACTAACAAATTATTTTTTTCTCAGTTTATATATTTTTACTTACAAACTTACTTTTTTTAAATGCAAGAAATTTGCTTTTAAAACAGTTTTTGTTTGCATAATAAAGACACAAATCTACCTTCATACATAAGCAAGAAAAGGTTTTTTTGGCTCGCCGACTAAACGCTCAATATTTGTGTCTCCTGGGACGCCTTCACTGCTTCGCACGGAGGGCATGTCTTCTCCCTCCTGATCCATCCATTCATACCAGTTGTGTGAAGAACTCTTCATCCAACCTCTTACTGCGCTAAAGGCCTGACCAACAGATGCTACACTGCCTTATGATGTCAGGACAAATACACAACGCACATCCCTCTCCACGTGCACGCAGACACACACACACACACTGTATTTGCTTAAGACTGCTGGTGTCTTCATTTTACAACTCAAAGTATACACCAAGAATCCCATAGTAACCTTCTTTTCGAAGCCTTAAGTTATATAATAACAGTCTAATATTCACACTTGTGATGCTAATTCTCAGAACAAAAAATCCTAAACTTATTTTTTTGCTGCGCATTAAAGCTCATATATTTTTTAAATAGTACTTTCAGAAAACCATCAAGAACGAAGCATCACTTCTAACATGAGGAAGCGGCCTTCATCAGTAGTGGTAGATTTTTCTAATTTCAGCGGGTTGTGAAATGCTTGAAGTCTTTTGTAAGAAAATGTTACAAAGTGCACTTTCAGTTGTTAATATTTTCAAAAAGAATGATCTCCAAGGTCAAGGATGAAGGCCTGTCAAAGGCCTCCGCAGACAAGAATTCATGAAAGCAAGTGCTAATCTTTTTTCCCAACTTCCACGCTGTCATTTTCAAAATAATGAAACCGTAGCTTCTACATACTTTTCCTAAAATCTCAGGACTCTTGTAAACGGAACAAGATTCACTACAACTGAGCTTCTGTTACCTAAAAGCCGTGCTGGCTTCACACCGTCACGATTGTGTGGCTCTGAATTGTTGCCCCGGGTAGTTCTGCTTTTGTCGTTCTCAGCGGTGCATCTTGTGCATCCTTTCTTTGTGGATATTCTTATCGAGAAACCAGCTACGGTTCTTTAAACACCCGTTCAATCGAATGAAAGCAGCTCACCTCTATGCATCGACTTGTTCCTGCACCTACACACACACACACACACACGCACACACACCCGCACACATGCACACACACACACACGCACGCACGCCCCCAAAAACCACTTTCTCAAGAGATACAAACCTTCTTGGGACATTCGTTGGTACAGAAATGTCCACGGGCTAAAAGTAGGCCAAACCGAAGTAGTACAAAAGTGTGCTTTGTTGTGTTTCCACCGTGTGCGGTTCAGCCTTTTGTCGAACACACGACTCAGTTCGTTTGTCACACGGCGACTGAGGGGATGTTGACACGCTGGAAAGTTGGAAAGCACAGTTCCAATTGGTTTTGCTTCAGCCCATCGATGAACTGAGTACATTAAACAAAAGAACAAACGTAGACGCAACAATAAGTCAACATCCTTGTCGTGACGAGGTGTTATGATGATGATTCAATGTTTATTTTCTAAGTGCACAGCATCCTCGCTTTGTTCTAGAACTTGACTTTATTTCTTGACCAAATGACAAAATTATGTTGAAATAGAAGTACATATATGGATATCGGGCGAGTGTGATCCGAATGGTGAAAAATATATAGAAATACTATTTCAGTTAAAGATCCATACCAGTGAGACCAGTATGAGGCCTTTTTCTTGGCTTCTGACCTTTCCTTAATCTGACTATAAAATACGCCGTCATAAGAGAGAAAAAAACTCCAGAAAAAGAGAATCCATAATATTGGCAGTATATCAGGAATCAGGAATCATTTATTGCTAAAATATACATACAAGGAATTTGACACGGCGGTTGTTGCAGAACATTGGACATTAAGACAATAAGACAATGGAACACAAGACAAATAACATACAAGAAAAGTGACATGTTCAATTTACCAAATACAGTAAAACAAAATTAGAGTTATCACTGCTAAATATTATTTTAAACTACACCTATTCTAATAGGAGGGCAGATGAACTTTGTCTGCGGTCAATCTTTACCTCCACCCTGCCTCCCCCTTTCTCCCTATCTCATGTGAGAGACACACGACGTGTCTCCATGTCTTTATCTGCTTCGAGCACGTCTCTCCCTCATCGCGTGTTCAGCACCGGCCTGCAGCGAATGCATGGCATTAAAATAATAAGTTATATTACCTGTAGTTGTTATATCTGTAAAATACGGAGTGTCTCGTCCGCGGGGGGTTTATGTTAAACGTTTTACGTTGTTTTGAAGTATGTTTAAAAAATGTTTTTAAAAAGCATTGCACAAGAGCAGAATGACATCGAAAGTGGGAGGGAGGTGAAAAAAATAAAAAAAATACAGAGGAATTATTTAATGACAGCTGTCCAGCGGGACACAATAAAAACAGCGGAATTATTTGGGTAAATAAGTCAATACTCGACTAAGGAGCAGCCGCTGTAATAAACGGAGCTGCGCGGAGCAGCAGACCTACAACATCCGGGCAATACGCGGCTCGCGCAGAAGCGGAATGGCGGAGGTGAGTGAGAGAGAAACGCGGAATGCGACGACTCCAACGATGTCGGAAGGGGAAACTAAAAGAAAACGGAGCGAATTGGACACTTTGTGTCCCGCGGAACGTTACACGAGAGCATCGACGGTTTCGCCGGCTGAAAGAGGAGCTTACGGCGGGGAGGGCATTTTACCCGGAGGGGTGGGTGCGGTGGTGGTGGGGGGGGGGGAGGGGGGAGAAATGGAGAAGCTCTCTCCGGCGTATCGCGTCAACGAGCCGTTCCCTCCGCCGCGGTGGTGGAGCCGGGAGGGCGGGGGGGGACGACGGGGTCTAACGCGCGGGGGTCCTGAGTCGTATCACCGGGTTGAGTGGCACAGCTAAAGTTGTGGTGGAGGAGGAGGGTTTGTTTAAAGATGTCCCGACCTGGCGGCGGTGAACTCCGACCCGTTTCTCCGAGAAGCACATTTTGTGTTTCCTTCTCGTGCCGCGCGGAGGGAGAGACGTTCAGCACCGAGCCGCAGGAAAGCGCCGCTGGTCGGGCACGCGGCGCCGGGCGGGCTGCGACCGAACGGCCGCGTGTCGGTTCAGCTTTTCACGGGGCTTTTTTTTTTTTTAACAAACTTCTTCGTCCAGCAAAGTGGTCTTTTAGAGAAGTAGCATGCCATCACATTTCAGCGTATGTCTGTGTGGGAGTTGGGTGGGGGCCTTTGTCTCGAAGTCTAATCAAGTTTTGTTGTTGTTTACAAAACTATTAGGTGGCCTCAGCTGGCGTTGATTCATTACTTTTACAAAACCACTGCAGGAACAACATGGAAAACACACATTCATGTGCCGTGAATGGAAAAGTGGATGTGCTTTGATATGAAGCACCGGCCTATAACACATTATATCTCAAGACAAATCTGCAGACTTGTCTCGATTATTTTGTGGGCTATTTGGAAATATTTAAGTTGCAATTGAGGGCCCCACTCAGGGTCTTCTTCGGTGGTTTCTGATCTGTCCGGGTATGTGACCCGGCACTGCGTGACCCCTCATGTGTTCTGTGTGTGCTGACACTGCACCCTGCACTATTGTTTTTGTTTTTTTTCTCGTTTACCACAGCTCACGTGTGTGTGTGTTTGTGTGTGCAGGTGGGCAAAAAGCCCCTAAAGAGAAGCGGCGCGGCTGCGGACGAGCCACAGTGATGGAGGCCCCCAGCGGGAGAAGTCTCCGCCGGCCTTAGAGGAGAGCTTTCGACCCCATGAGGATGACAGCGCGGCCCCACACTGTGCGGTCAAGTTCAGCCGTCTCCATCACTTTTACGTCACAGCGTAAAGCCACAAGTCTCTTCAACTAAACATTTTTTTTCTTTTGAATCATGTGAACCTGACAGCCACAGGGCTCCTCGTATCTCTCACACGCCTGTATCCAGTACAGATGTTTCTGCTTTGATTTCAATTTGGTAAATACGTACTGCTGTATACGTGCCAAACGCCACAGTGCATCCAGGCCGTTAAGAGTTTGACAGCTCTGCGTCGGAGTCCCCCGGTAACACCTGTTGACCGGCTCAAAAACATCCCCACCTAGTGTCAATGTTTCCTCTGGAAGTGATGTACAAAACAAATCATCTGACGATGTCTCCCTCTGCGTGTTTGCAGGCCGGTGAGCTTCCTCTGAAGGAGCTGCTGGCTCTGTACGGCTACACGGTGTCCGATCCGGAGAAGGAGAGCTGTCACATGGCCGCCAGCCTGCCAGACATGACGCTGGACAAGGTGAGATAAAACGCTGTGAACTCTTCTCATCTCTGGCGCGTTATCAGCGCGTGCTGTGCTTTTTTTTTTTTGCTGCCGCTCTATTGCTCTCTTAAATTGTGTCGCACCGGTTCAGATGACCGAGGGTATGTTTCCTGGGGAGGAGGAAGAGGAGTCGTTGGCTGATGATCTCACGCCGTCGGTCGCCTCGAACACCTCCGATCTGCTCCGATGTAACGAACACGCAGGCACGTACTCGCACATGTTTCCGTGACGTTGTAGAAGCTTGACGCCATATGAGCACTCAGAGCTTTCCTGATGAAAACCGTATAGCGGTACTGAAAAAAAGGAACACCCCCGGAGCCCATTTCCTCAATATTGAATTTATGATCATGAGTCATGACATGCAAGAGTTTATAATGTCAATAAATGAAATGAAAGCTGTGACATGTTTATTTCTGTGTAATGCGATCTAGGAACTTCCTGGTATCTGACTCTCATGTGACCCAATGACGTCAGAGACTGAGGAGGTTTAGAAATCTTCCCCTGATGAGCACTGGTTCATCCTGAACCCTATTTTATACAGAGTTCCATATATTGCATTTGTATGCTTCCCACTGCTGTGCTGGGTTTCAATAATAAGAAACAAAACAAATATTTTCAAAGTTGCAGAAATGTTGATATATATATCGACAGAAATAGAAGTTGTTTGTCGGAAAAATCTTTCGACGTGCCGAGTGTTTGAAATGATTTCCTTCATCCCTGATTTCTTCTGATGTTCGGTCTCAGGTGAAGACAAAGACACATTAGTCAGCTCGTCGAACGAGGACTCTGACGAAGCATCTATTCCCTCCAATGAAGAGCACAAGGTGGGTTGAGACCAGTTGACTCTGATTTGAATGTTTCATTCATATATTCTTTATATGACCTTTTTATTTAACTAGATAAGTGGATTGAGAATAGGTTCCCACTTACATTGAGGACCGGTCCAAAGGGGCAGCAACAGGAAGATTAAGATTATGTGACGATCGGCAGCAAAATCTGTTTTAAACTCTCCGCCTAATATTCTAAATTCAGTTCTGGACCTCAGTTTCTAAACTGTGTATGTCCCATTTGAGCGCTATGACAGACTTTGCCTTTGCATTTCCTTCACAGGAAATTATGGTTGGCTCTATGTATCAGGCCAAAATCCCTCCACTCAGTTCATATACCTACCAGGAGAGAGGTAAGCACACCTTGTATAACCTCCTCCAAGTCACTCCAGAGGATTTAAAAGCTCCTCTGTGTAGAAATCTGCCTTTTTATCGTCTCCAGCCGGAGGCGTCAGAGAAGACATCAGCCCGACCACGCCTCTGTCTACCTGCACCGTCTCTGTCTGCGTTCTCTTCCACGTCCCCCCCCCCCCTCATTATCTCCCTGTCTTTGATCCTCTAGCCTGCAGCAGTGACGACCAGTGTCTGTGGAGACCGGGAGTTCTCTCCGTCCAGGAAGTGGAAGACTTCTTGCTGAACGCACAGAGACCGTATGGCCAGCAGGGGACAGCGTGCACACAGACGCAAAAAGACACCGTGCGAGACAACCAACAGGTATTGTCCCTTTTTTTTTTCTTCTTCCAAACGTGTCCCAGGAGACACTGGTCGAGTGGTGTCGCAACTACGTGCAGTTGGCAGAGGGTCGTGGTTTAACCCAGGTCCGACCCTTTGTGTCTCATCCTCCTGCTTTTCTCTTGATCGCCAGGCGCTGTATGAGCTTGTGAAATGCAACTTTAATGCAGAGGAGGCGCTGCGACGATTACGCTTCAACGTGAAAGTGTTCAGGGGTAAGAACCTGCCTGTCGTCCTGCGGTACTTCCGATTGTCCTTTTGCATAATCCACCCAATGACGGAGATGAAGACCAATCAAATTCATTCATTTCTTCAGAAAGAAAACAAAAGGAGCATAACCAAAACACAACAAGTGTAATAATAATCCTCCCCGCAGCCATTCATGTGATTTCAAGCTGCATTTTATGCACACAAAATAAAAGTCCTGTCGTACAAAGCGATATACTACAGAAACTCAACTAAATTGCAGATGCAACACACCTTCTACAGCATTTAGAATCAGATCCTTCACAAATAAACGAGAAATTCAACTGATTAAAAGAGGGGAATGTGTACTCATTTGGGACTCAAATTCCCCTACGAGTTCCAAAGACTGCAGAACACACCGATCCCACGTGTGAAAAGCAAGACCATGCTGTTACATTTTGACACCTCACATCTTGGTTTTTCTGCAGCTGGTTTGGTCCGTTAAAAGCAGAACATTGGGGGATGACCTCATAGCAAACATGCATTCTTTTTCTTCGGTGTTATTCAAAATGACAATCTTCACAAGGCTTATTTCTTTGTAATGTGTTAGACAATATTAAATTGGGGAAACCAGTTAAGATTCATTATAGATAAGATACATTCATTTAAAACCTGCAGAGTTGGAGTGGACTTTTTTAAAATTGTATATTTCTTTTAAATGAAAAGCAGTGCTGAAAAATCTTTCTCGTGCTTCTCTCTCTCCCCTTTTTTAAATTTATTATTATTATTATTTTTTAGAAGAGCTTTGTGCCTGGAGCGAGGAGGAGTGTAGGAGCTTCGAGCACGGCTTTCGGGTCTACGGGAAAAACTTCCACCTCATTCAGGCTAATAAGGTGAGCGCTGTGACATTCTTCCATTTTCGTGGAGTTTGATGCTGGAACCCGAGTGACGCGGCGACTCCTCAGGTACGAACGCGCTCCGTTGGCGAGTGTGTGGAGTACTACTACATGTGGAAGAAGTCCGAGCGACACGAGTACTTCACCCAGCAGGCCACCCGGCTCAGTCGTAAGAAGTTCAGCCTGCAATCGGGGAGCATGTACGTATTGCCTGGGGCTGCTCCAAAGGCCGCTTTCTTTGCATTCAAAGCCTCGATCACTACTTGGGACGCTGCTTTTTCACCCGACCTGGAATTTCAATATTTTCTAACCAGCTCGTAAGACCGCGCAGTATATCTGTTGGTCGCTGTGCAACGCTAACAGCGGTTGTGTTGCAGGGAGGATGGAGAACAGGACGGGGAGGTCGGGGAGCTGGAAGGAAGCAACGGCTCGTTGTCTCACAGCTCCATGGATGCTGGACAGCATCAGTCCCCGTTACCCCCACAGTCCAGCCTGGATCCACGCAAACGAGGTAAACAAGCGCCGGATGTTCTGGTAAACTGTTGCCTCGGTATCTATTCTCTTTTATAGATGACCAACACAAGTAATTATGGAGCAAGTGTAACCGCTATATTATCTCCATTATCCCATGTTTGCATCAAGAGAGGTGGAAGCTGGTCACGGAGCACTCGGCACTTAACGGTTGATTGTGAAATGAAGAGCATTTAATTTTAAATAATCTCACACACTTTGAGGATTTAGTTTGATTTCCAATAATAATGGAATCAGGAAGATACGTGGATGTCTTTTCTTTTATAGAAACCATTCACATACCATCTTGGACAAGTTTTCCAAATCACATCCTTCCTGCTGCCCATTGTGTTGTATACATTTTGTTTTCCCCATTGAATGTCATATTTTGATCACATGGTTTGCCTTTTACTTTTGACATCACATACTCATTATCTTATGTTATCAATCATTTTTATGTGTCTCTCCTCCTTTTTGTTCCCTCCTGCTCCTTGTGTGTCCTGTGTGGTTGTGTTTGTGCGTCCACGTATGCATGTCTGTACCTGCGTGTGCATGCACGCCTGTTGACATGCTGCTCCAGAGGAAGAAAGCCGCCCCTGCCTCAGACGAACTCCCCGCTTCCTCTTAAAGCCATGAACTCGGTCCAGACAGGCCGCAGAAAGCAGGCCCGGCCTGCAGGTAAAGAAGGCAAGAAGAGCGGATTGGAGGCCATAACAATAATGTGATTAAACCTCCTGAAGCACAGCGCTAATGCAGGCGGCCACGGACGCTCCTGTGGCTATTCAGTAAATGCCGCTAATTATCCAAGATATATATCGATCATTTGCTTGGTGTAACTGCTGTATACAAATGGATCTTGAGTTCAAGATCAACATTTATGTAGCAACGATTTAAGCGTAGTTTGAAGTGTCTTTATCAATAACAAAATGTATGAAATAATGATTTAAGTTGATACCATCTCTCAGATGGCGAGCTGGTGACGGGGTCGCCCGGCGTGTGCGGTGACGGATGTCCCCGGCAGCTGTTCGGCTGTCCCTTCTCCCTCCCGGCCGCGGACGACCTGCGGGGTCCCGCCTCAGACACCTGTTGTCCCTCGGCCCTCGTTCAGCACCGGTCCCAGTGGGCCGGCGGCGGCGGCAGCCCCCTGTCCTGCCACGACGACCACTGCCTGCCAGGCTCCTGTTTTTACCAGCTGCACGTGTGCAGCGGACCTTTTGCTTCGGAGGGCCCCGAGTGCGAGGCCGCAGGCACGGGGGCCGGCACGGGGGAATTCAGCCTGCCGTCCGCCTCGCCGCCCTCCTCTCCGGCCCTCCCGTCGCCCTTCCAGGCGCTCGGTGGCCTGCTCCTCCCGTCCAGCATCCCTCGCTCGCTCACGCAGTGACGGGACGTGGGAAGTTCTGAACATCTTTGATCGGTGACAAAGAGCTTTTATCTGACTTTGTGAAAAAAGGATGGACCTACTAGCTGAGCCGGGGGGGTTAGTCGTCTGTCTGAACACTCTTTTTAATCTGAGTCACTTGAACCCTTTGTCCATTGTGGAATGACCAGTGTTAATCACCACTTTCAGGTGTTTCTTAGGCCTTCGTGGACAGTTTTTTTTTTTTTTTCTACAACCGGCACCACGGCTGAGCTTTTGATTGACTGTGGCTCTATGAACAGATCTATGATCAACTATGTTTACCAGTTTTTGTTTTATTTTATTTATCAGGATGTTTAACCGCATCAGATGTAATCAAAACTTCTCCCATGTGGAACCAATCGCGTCCTCCTTTAGGTATGTTCTGCTCATCGCTCGGCACTTTGAGATCTGAGTAAAATCTCTGCGTTGAAACTATGTGAAAATTACTTTATTTAAACATCTTCAATCCAATGGGTATTTTCATCCTCCCTTTTTTGGTTTTGCACTCATCCACTCCTGTCTGAAAACAAGTGAAACGGTCTCAATAACTCTGGTTAAATATGAACAGCTGAAACTGAACATTTATTGAGGTCGATACGCGAACATGATTGGAGGGAAAAAAGCAGCTCAGTGTTTTATTTTTGGTTTTGCTTTCGTTAAATTTGTCGTCCTTGTTCTTCATTTGGAAGTCCACGTCAAGGTGTACAAAGGTGCAGTGCTTTGTCATAACTTCTGATCGCCGTTTCTATCATGTTGAATATCAAGTTTCATTAAGAGCCTGATTGACCCGCAGAATGGGCATAAAATAAAACGTGAAAATGTAAACTGTACACGCGAACATAGTTAAGTCACTGAATGCGATCACTCTTCCTCAGGTTCTGCGACTTCAGCTAGTCTCCTTTCGCCCTGGACAGGCGCGTTCGACAGGAAGGTTATTGGATCGAGATGCACTGTGTAAAAATATATGTAACTAAAGGCAGGTTTGAAATAATGGGTGTATCCCCCCCCCTGTGATCCGGGACCGCTTAAAACTTAAATGGGTTCTTTCTTTTGCCTCGTGCAACATCCTCCCACCAAGTTTAATGAACTAAGCTCCTCAGAGAGGTGATGATCGAGGTTTGGGGTCCAAAGATCAATCTAATATGAGATGTACCGGTTCTTCTACCTACGTTCAAGTAACATGTGAACAAAGGTGCATAAGTTGAACGCAGCTGACCTGAATTGTGGGTTTAACAGAATATCGTGTTTCTCTGAAATGTTTTGCTCACTGACTTCTGCCAGATGTAAGTATACTGAGTATCACATGTAGAAGCTTTGGCATTTCTTTTATGTGTGTGTGTATATAATACAATTCTCATCTAACCAGTGTTCCAAACCATCCATAACGCTGTGAATTCTGTTGGTCAAAGGATGACAAACTTATATTCTCAGTTGTCATTTAACATCTCAAAGTACATCTAGTATTTTCTAAAAGACAGACAGAGCTTCAGGTGAAGGACGACAAAATAAATGATAAACTTAGCGTTTCATCTCTCAGAGGAATCCGCCTCTTCCAGGTTGAGAGTTGTTTAGAGACGGAACATCTTGAAGTGATGGTGTGAATGTGATACTAAAGATTCTTGCATTAAATATTGTTTTAATTTACATACATTGATGAGCTTAAATAGAAATAACTTTATTTGCGGCTCCATTCGTACATATGTGGTATTTTCTTCTGCATGAAATGTCTGCATATTTTGCTCTCCACTCTAAACAGGTAAAGGGAGAGTTACAGGGGAGGAAATGTTCGTCCTTCTGTTGGTTCCATTTGTTTTGTAAATGCGGGAGCTCCGCCTGTGAAACGCGTATAAAGCCAAACCGGTCTCGTATGTTTTGTGTTTGTTTACACGGAGGAAGGGAGGCGGCTTTCACACTGCTTTCTATTCATTTTTGTTTTTACTCTCATTTTCTAGCAATTTATATATTGTATTTCTTCCGTGTTTGTTTATGATAATTATATTTTGTTAAAGAAACGTGTGAAATATCTAAATGAACTATAAATTATTTTTAAAAGCGGCCACGCGTTTGTGTCATCTCAAGTATTTGTTTAAATTTAAACTGGGAGGAAGTGAGATCCAATCGAATAGCTGCACTGATATTTGTCCTCACGCAGGAAAAAGCATTGGGTCCTGGAACATATATATATATATATATATTTATATTATTTTCAATGACTAAATCTAGCGACAGTCTGTCTCTCCGATGTGTGACTCTCATGTTTATCAACCTTTCGTTGGGATTTTTTTAGACTCAAGGAATTTTTAGGAAACTTGAATGTACTGCAGTATTGAAACCCTTAGAAAAGACATCATATCTTGCGTCAGGCACATATACATCATTGACCAAATGTCCTTCCTGCCCCTCGTCTGTCCCCTGCAGAGTTAGTCCTGAGCCCCCCGCTGCGTCTCCATCGCCTCTGATAGAAGGACATGCCACTGGACAGCAGGGACGAAGTCTCCTGCTACATCATCTGTCCTTAGGAGGTAAACATCTAACGTATATTGTCCATCCTCGTGAGGCCTTTTGCTCGCACATCTGTTTAAATATTCACTCAGACAAAAGCAGGACTCCCGGGACAAGTACCGGTAGGTATTTTCTAAGGACACTTCCCGAGCTGATTACAGTTCCAAAATGTGCAGTTTATTCACAGTTTCTTACTGCGTTGCATCACGCAGCCCAGAATGTGGTTTTAGCTGCATTGAATTGGGACTGTCATCTATGTTATCAATTGTATGCATATTTGGTGCTGTTGCATTGTTAGTGTGTGTACATATGACTATGGTGCCATCTGCTGGTAAGAGGACAACTACAGTTCAAACACAGAGAGACAATTCTCAGACTGAACTCCAGTGTTCATAAGTAGTTAATGAAAGCCTTTGTAGATATGAAGATATCGGAAAGATATTTGCTGTGTTAGCTAGTTTTGATTTATTATATCCTGGCAATTTGGAAGCAGTGCCTCCTCGCCGCTGTGTTTTCATCGTGGCCATAACAACAGACTTTTTGGATACATCTATTCTGTTAAGAACTCTAATAGTTTCCTTAGTGTGACCGTTGGGATGGGGTCACTCTACTGGTGGAGAACACACCGGGTCCTTCTCATTAAGACTTCTCCACCTCCATGTTAATACCTGTATTGATTTGTGGTTGTGCCTTCTGTGCAGAGGCGAGAAAAGGTGAATGGTTGCGGTGGTCAATGTCTCCGTTAAGTCTGTTGCCTTTAGAAACAACCAGAAGGAGGCAGAAAAGGCTCCGCTTTCAAATAAATTCCTCCCTGCGTTTCCCCCGGCCTCTTCATGGTGCTGCTTTACTCAACTGATATTCTTCTCCATGGCACTGTTCCACTTACAAACTCAAGTTGTCATTGACAGCCGCACACACTCGCATTTAATTCTACCTCCTTCAACTGTGCAGAAAGTCAAATAAAGCAGAAATACAGAGTTCCTTTGTGTTTTCTGCCAAAACTCAGCGGGGCGGAACTAACAGAATCGGGAGATGTTTGTCATGCAAAATGAGTGAACTATTTATGCACACAAAGTACTCCAAAGTACTCGACTCATGGCTGCATGGTGGCAGCAAGGAGGGAGGGGGGTCCCTGGGGGGGGGGGCATCCTGACTTCATGGACTCATGCTGGTGTTAAGTCATGCTAATGCTCTCTGCAGCCCCAGCAGGTCTTCCTGCTTTAATGAAGCTGGAGGTTTTGTTCTCTAGCTTTCTACCCCCCCCCCCCCCTTCCCCGCCCCCCTCCTAGTGACGTCATGGTTTTACTATGTATGTGTTTGCGTCTTATTTTAGAACCTGTTTGCTCTCTGGTAAGTTTCAACATAGATCTCTCTCAGGGAAAAGATTAACTTCTCAACTGATGTACTGGTTCAAGTGTTTCCCCCCTGTGGATCTTTGGGGTAAATGGAGTGCATGACGGGAGGAGATAATAAAGGGCTCTCATCTATGTGAGGAGTTCAGCAGTGGGCTAAGCTGGGTTACTGCTCAATTAATTAGGAATTGATCATTGTTTCATTAAGTAATGAATTAAAGCCACAGCCCCACTGCAGTGCTTTTAAATCCACTAATCAATTAAACATTATTGCAAATTATGAGCTCAGGTGCAATGAAAGTAATTATTCTTAAAATAATCCTGTATTTTTTAGTTGTTTTTTTTATCTCACTGTGTGTCTCCATTTAAATGACAGCAAACAAAGTCGCAAAGCAGCGAGAGAGAAAAACAAAAAGCTAAAAACCACTGAGCGCTTTGCTCCAGCGCCCTTTGCCAGCAGAGGAAATGGGAGGGAGGGAGGGACCAGTTCTGCGGCTCGGTGCGCGCACTGGACTCTCCGGACGCCTCCGGCGCTGCGCAATTGGGAGGATCTCTCCACTTTTGGTTTTTTTTGGGGGGGGGGGTTGTTGCCAAACGCAGTGTAACCAACGCGCGCAAACGGACGCGAGACTCCGAGCGCTGAACCCGCTGTCGCCAAACACCTTTGCTGTCAATGTCGGCACAGGTACGGAAGGGAAGGGGATCCCGGAAGAGCTCGGAGTGCCGGTGACTACGGCTGTTTACGCAGCCTGCGCTTCTGTTCCGAAGCCGATGGGCTTCAAAAAGTAGTGACTCTCTACCCACCCATCCCCCCCCCCCTTTTTTTAAAGTTGTTGATTAATTTAAGTGAATGAACGGAAAGAAGATGAAGGACCCCAGGAAGAAGACGCTGTACGTGCTGATGGACGTGCTGTGCGTTGTGGTCGGTAAGTGTGATTCGTTTCCATTTATTTGCATCAGGGGGCTTAAAACTCACAACGCAGAGCGAACGATGTCAATCATTTACGATGCATACGACAGACATGATTCCTGTGCTGACAGTGGTGAGCAGAAAACAATATGGTAAACAAAATGATTACAACCAAAAGTCAGTATAATCCGCCTTTTGGTAGGAGTTGCAGCCTCATACAGCTGATATTCGGACAAACATCACATGTTTGCGGTTGCAGCGGTCTGCTGTTAGTGGCCTAGTGACACAATATTTAATTTAATTGAAATGGTGGAAAGATGCCAGGGAACCACAACAAAGCTGTTTCATCCGCGTCTCCACGAAATGCAAATGAAGCGACTTTCCTTTGCGACGCAGTCCAACTTTCCACAAGAGAAGTCGCCCCGCTTGTTTGCGCAGATCCCAAATGAAACGGTGTCCGGGCTGAAATGTGACATTGAGCGGCACCGTGGTGAGGAAACGACCCTCAGGCCTGCAGGATCCTCCAAACTACTCAGCACTTTACGGAGTCTCAGGAAGCTCAATGTTTGTTTATGGAAATTCAATATGCGCGCGTGTGTGTGTGTGTGTGTGCGTTCGCGTGCTGGTTATTCAATATTTTCTAAGCCAGGAATCTTGTCAAAAATTCCCCCACATCCCGCGTACATTTCTCAGGATGTGACTTCCATGTTGCTCCACGGACGATTGTTTTGGCGTTTAACTTCACTTTTCTCCAGGATGAGTTTGTTTGGTGTCTTCATTGTTGTACCTTCCTTCTCTGAGGCATGAACAAATAACACACACGGAGACACACGGAGCACCACAGACGCCATTTCCTGACTAACTGGACAGCAATCCAGGAAGTTTACAAAGGAACTACTACATAGAGAGCATCCAATGGAAGCACCTGTTGTTGCAATGGAATGTGTGTGAGCAGCGTCCCTCGTCGGGGCCACACCCACTACACACCTGTAGAGTCGCCTGTGTCAACACACGTGGAACACGGAGACGCCAGGCGAGTGTTTCAAACCAGTTCCATCAACGGCAGGTTGTCGGCCATCCACATCCAGGTCCCTTAATAGACCCCACCATCCCATCCCAGAGATCTGCTGTGTATGTGGAATGTACCACTGCGGTGGGACTTTGGGTTTCCGTACCAACGCCACCGTCCCTCCTAGACAGCCGGGCTGCCGTGTTGCGTGATCTGCCCTGCTGTGCAGTTTCAGATTCCCCCCCCTTCCCCCCCAGGCTCTCTGTGGAGCTTAGGGGTGTTTTTCCCCCGTCTGTGGGAACGTCCACACGCTGCTGAACTTGATAAGCCTCGCCGCTTTGCCTTCGCAGGTCTGGGATTAGCGTCTGTGTTTGGCTGCCGGCTCGGGTCTGGGTGGTGGCATCCCACCCTTTTGGGCCTCGCCCTTCCCCTTTCGCCACCCACGTCAGCCACCACAATAAATGTTCAGTCAACCCCCGAGCTTGTGTGAGGTTGCCCCGGGCATGTCACAACCGCACGGGGGGAGCTTGTAATTACGCTAACCATTAGCCTGCGCGGAAGCAGGGTTCGGAGATGGGTTCTGTCTGCGTTTTGGGACTGTTTACATTTCTCGTTGTAAACATTTATGTGAACATACCTTTTTTTTTCGAAGTGAAGACCACGTGGAAGAACCTTAAATGTGCATTTGTTCCACCCGTCAGCAGTGGATCACTCCGAATAGTCCGGTTGCTTAGAAGTCTATGAGAAAAATGACCCGACTTTTCACTTGATTTATGTCCTCGGTAAACATTGGAAACCTCCGTTTATTGTCTCAATTGCTAGTTTGAAATGTTCTTCATTACATCATGAAGTTCATTCAATAGAGTATAGTCCTCTTTAGGGTGTGGCTACCTTGTGATCGTCACGCACTAATAAGCAATCATTGTTGGGGATGTTCCCTCCTTTTGTGTTCCAACAATATAACCAGAAAACGAGACGCAAACTGGTTGTATCACGCGTCTAGTTTACAGCTCAAATATCAGCCGTGGCCATTCGTGCTCCATCGTGTCCCTCCTTTTGCTTCATGTGAGTCTGCTCTGGGCACAAACGGGCGGTGGGTGTTGGCTGGGAGGCTTTAACCTCCCAGTGCGAGGTTGCACTCGGTGCGAGAGTCAGAGGGGGGGGGACCTCAGCGAGTAATCTCTGCATGAATCGGGTGCTTATAACGAGCTGTGTGTTTATGAGTAATGCCTTACGTACTCAAGGTGAGTATGTGGGGCTAAAAGGCTTCCAGGCAACAAATTAGCGCAGGACACGCTCACGCACAACGTTCCATGTGTAGAACCGGGTAATGACGAACCAGTTATTTTTGATTTTACGCACACACGCATTGCCTCCGCATGCAGAAAGACCTGCTGAGATGACATCTTCCCGGTCATGTGACTCTCGTGTCTTTTGAAACACAACTGACTCCATAAATGAGTTTTATGTTGCTCCTGTGGGTTTGAGCTCGTAGCCGGAGAGTCTTCCCACACACGGGGAAGTTATTTGCCTACAATAGAGTTTGCTCACAAAGCCCCGCGGCAGTAAACAAAGAGTCTTCCTCGCATGACCTTGGGTGCATGTGAACGGCCCGTCGCTCGGCTCTCTTCCCCTCCGCTTGGAGGCCCCGTGAGAGTTTGTTGGTGCTGCCGCAGCGTCTCCAGGGAGCCGGAAGGTCTCGCGCCGCTGTGTTCTGGAAGACTGATCGCCCCCGAGTTCTCAGCGAAAGGCTGCAGAGACGCTTGATGGGAATTGTTCTCCTCAGGAGAGCTGTGTCATGGAAACTGAAGCCCTATCAACAAACACGCTGGTCCCTCTGAGGAATATGAGCCCGGCTTATATTCTTCTCGTCCTTAATGACCTTAATTGCTGAAGGATTTGGGGTAAACCTCCTACCGTCTTTCTTCAGTCATACTGTAAAGTGGATGAGAAACCGCGTTCATTTTGAGTCGTTAAAGTACCCACGTTTCAAAAAAGCTCAACAATGAGCTGGTAGAAAATGGAGGAATGTGGGGGAGAGGCACTGTTCCCATTGTCCTCTTTTGATGTAATTTTAACAGTTGTTATTGGTTTAAGACCTGAAATGAGATGAAAATCGGAAGCTTCAACCACTTTATTTCGTTTTAGGTCCTGCTGGCTGTTCTGTTGTAGTCAAAGGCAGAGGACTATAAGGCCTCCAAACATGCATATTCTCTCCAGAGAAACAAGAACTGCTTTCAGGCAACCACTAAACATAGTCATTTGCATACTGAATACTCTGTATATAAATGTGTGTGTGTGTATACATTCATACATATATAGCAATGATGTGCAGACGACACATTTAGCGACCTTTCAGAGAAGCTCAGCCCCGTTGATGATCGTTCTCTCACTGCGGACCTTTTCATGGTTTTGGTTTAAACCTGTGTGGCCGGCGGCTTTGATCCCCTCCAGACTCTTTGATTCCCAGATTTAGACCCCTGCCCACCCCCCAAACCGCTCCTTACACACCACCACTCCTCCCTCGCCTGCCACCCGCCTCCGTCTGCAGTGCTCAGACCCGAGCATGCGTAAATGATGGACGGAGCGAGACGGCGGTGTCTTTAAGAAGGGAGAGTGGGCACCGGCAGCAGCAGGAGGGTTCGGTGTGACTGGTGGAGGTTGGGCGTTCCTCGCGTGAAGCCGAATTCCAGAGGCCAACGGCGGCAGAGGTTGTAGGCTCAGCACATACCTTCCACATTAGTCAGTCCGGCTCGGGGTGAGACAGTCACAAAGAGGGAGCCTCTAGTTGTTTTGCTTTGAGCCACCTTGTAAAGGTCTGTAACAGCGTGTTGATTTGGTTTCTCGCTGTCATTTCAGCCATGAATGTTCGGGGGGCGGGTGGATAAGGAAAGAAGGAACTCCCAAAGTAACCCTAACCCTGGAAAGAGAAGAAATGAGTGTATGAGGAGCAGATGTCCCAGCTGTGACCCTGCAGGAGAGTTTTAGACCAAATAGAGCAGCTCCAGGGCATGACAACAACCCCCCCCCCCCCCTCCTACACACACACACACACACAGGTTTTACAGGCCTTGAAAATAAGCATAATGACAACCCAGACTGTATGTATATCCAAGTGAGGAGAATAATAGTCCGTCCACATGGTTTTACAGGTGCAGCAGGTTGTGTCGGGGAAACACGGGCCGATGATCAAGGCGTTGGCTTTTTCCGCGAGCGGCAGCGGCAATTGTGACCTGAGACAAAGAGAGAAAAACTGCAATTTGAAAAAGGAAACGGCCAAAGAGCGAGAGCGAGCGAGACAGGACGTAACAGGCCTCAGAGCTCTGCCCCCGGGGTGCTATTGTGGTCCAAATGGTCCTTTTCGTAATTGCACATCTGCCGGCTAAGTAAAGCACCAGCCCATCGAGGCCTCTATATTTAAAACAGAAGGAGAAGTGTGTGGGAGGACGCTGCGCTCAAGAGGATTGACAGACAGAGAGACGCAGCTCCAGAGAGAAGAACGAATGACTTTGAATAAGAGAGAAGGGGGAGGAGAAGTAAGCCGAGTGGAGGATGTGAATCAGCAGTGACGGAAGGAGCGGAGGACAGCGTGCCCTTTCTCTCCCTGGCATCTTTGTTTGTCCGTGGTATCAATTATTGCCACCGAGTGTTTATCTCTCCGTTGCCCTGGCGGCCGTTCAGCAGGGCGGAGGAGGTTTATGGACGGAGGCCCATCTGCGACCAGGTCAAATGAAAAAAGCCCCAGAATGCAAGCAAAAGCCTCCAAGATGGGCCTTCTTTAATCTGAGGCAGGAAACGCTTGAGCTCTGCATCCTGCGACTTCAAACAAGCTCCCATTTGGGGCTCAGGCAGGAGATTTCTTTTTTTGGGGGGGGGGCTGACTGGCAGCTAGAGATTAGCTTCCTGGCTGCAATCCAAACTGGCAGCGTTTTTCCTTTTCTACATCCGTAAAGGCAGGTGTTTGAAGAGAAGGTTCTCCACTGCAACCCCCTCCCCCCCCCCTCGCCGCCTTGACGTTCTTTTGTGTTTTCTCGGCGCATAAAATCAACCACGCGAGTCATTTACTTGGTCTTTAAGAAGGTGCAAAGCAGCGCCGCGTCTCGTCCCGTGGGCTCGTCCCGTGGGCTCGTCCCGTGGGCTCGTCCCGTGGGCTCGTCCCGTGGGCTCGTCCCGTGGTATCCCAGTGACCTATTCCGCCAGCCAGAGGGTTTATTTTTGTGCTCAAGTGTGTCTGATTTTTGTTTTTTTTTAAGAGAGTGGCTGCTTTGTTCCTTGCAGATATAATCGGAGGCACCTCTCAGGATGGACCACTCCTTCCATCCAGACTCGACGTCATTTTGTTAGGAAGCTTTTTTTTCATTTTTTTTTTCATCTGAACTTTCATTTATGAGCACAGAAATGAGAAATTCCTACTTCTGTTTTTTTACAGGCCATGAGGGGGTTATTTAAGGCCAGGTGTCCCGACTCCACTCACTCCCTGGAATGTGTGGGTAACCGGCCGAGTTTGTTGAAGATGATTTAGTAATCGCGCAGAGGCCAATAAAAACCTTTTAGCATGTAGCCCAACAGACAAATACAAATGACACCCGCAATGTCGTAGATGGGAGACGCTGCAGCTTTTCAGCCAGGTTGAAGGAGGTGGTTTATTCCCTTTAATTCTCCTCCTCGCTGCGCCGTGATGAATGTCCTGCTTTGGCAGGTGTTAAAAGCTTCATGAAACAGTTTGAAGTTTCTGTACCACATCAATAGAAATGATTATGTCCTCCGGCCCTTTCAAAGAGACATTTACCATGCTGTAGTAAGTAAATAAACTTCCCCCGTGACACCCCTCTTTAAAGCGTACTTACAACTTATGTAGTAATAATATGTGGTGGATTGCAAGTCTTTCTTTACTTTTGTCTGGTGTTCCAGTGGATTTTTAAGGTTGTGTTGAACGCACAAATTACTTTAGGCCTCAAAAGTTGGTATTGGCTGAAAAAATATGTTGAGTGGAAACAGATTTCCTGTCTGTATTTGTCACCTCCTAACCAATGGATTTATGCCTCTAACCCCTAAGAACAATATTTATTTTCATGCCCGATAATATTATGCTACCAAATAGCAAATTTGACGGTTGATTTTTACATTTGGGTCCATACCAGACGTATGAGGAGTCTGGAAATGTTTAAAATAATATTTGGAAGATTTTCTTTTGAAAATAGCGTTCTTGGGAGATGCGTCCTGTAAGGACCCTCTCAGTTAAGGGGTAGAAAGGTCTTTTGCCAGCTGCAAGCAGGATACAGATGCAGAAGCTGCCACATCATTGAATTCCCCTTCCCGACACGTCCGAGGCAGGATGTTGGTTAAATGCAAGAGAACATGCATTGTGCTGACGTCGTCACAGACACGACTATTGTGACGCTTGGGAAAAAAAAAAAATACTTTATATGTGACCAGTTTACCAAGTCCCGGCGCGGCGGGTAGATGGCAGCGACCCGGCCCGGCGTCTAGTGGTCGGTGGCTTGTGGGAAGTCGCTGTACAGGAACAGGTGTCATCCAGCTGCTGCTGCTCCCAAAAAAGATGAGGGTCCAATGCATCAAATATTTAGGAGTGATGTTGTTCTCTTTTTGGAGCTTGATGAGAACAATAAAACCACTTTTGTGTCCGTACCCATGGGTCACATCAGTGAATTCATGCCATGGTTTTTGTCCGACGAGGCGCCTGAGACCGGATGCCAGTTCTGTCGCTGAACAGGTTCCCACAAACAGGATGATGGTGGTGCTAAAATGAAAAGAATATGGCCTAAGAATGTCCAGGAATTGTTTACCGTAGCTTACCAAAGAAATTGGGAACAGCCGCTTTAGCTCTTTTGTTATTTTTGCATTTCACCCATAACAAATCTGCAGGAAAAGTTCTGTGTGGTCCGATTTCCAAACAAAATGCTTTGATTACTAAGAAGACGGCCGCGTTTCCCCCTTTAACACCCTGTGTTGAAACTATTAAAGTTTTCCGTGTTTAAATACCGTGTTGCGTTCCCTTGGCCTCTCAATTTGTGTTTTTTTCCCCTCCCTGTGTGTCTGGTTTAAACCCAACTCCTCTCAGGTCGAGTTACAACCAGTGTAACGTTGTTTATCTCATAGAGCGTTGTTGTCTACGCTCCTTTTTAACAGAAAGCTTCTATTTCGTCCCACTCGCTGAGCACAACACTCCTTGTCTCACGGTGTCCTGTGAGGAACACGTGCATGGAGTTGTAACTATGCAACGTATTTACTCGTGTCATGTCCACTTGGATGGAGAGGGACACTCTGCGTCTCATTGTCCAGGTGTCTTGTTGTGTCTTGTTGTCCCAGTATCCCTCCATCAGCAGGCTGTTGTTTCTCAATGGTTTGAGTTAAAGGGTGCGTTCACCTCCGCTGATCCATATTTTTTCGCTTTTGGTCTCCGTCTTCCGCTTGTGGACCCTCGGCCTCTCATCAGCAAGTCTCGCTGGAAGTCCTTCTGGACTGTAGCTGTGGACTTTTTAAGAATGGGAGGGGCGCGCCGCTCATTTACACAGAAATATAATCCCATTGGTGAGAGCACATTTCGAGTGTGTGCTGTTTTTCTTGCGTTTAGTATGCGGCTGTGTGGCATTTCCACCGCGGCCTCAACACTGTCTGGCCCTCCGTTTTTACGGACAGCGGTAGTGGATATCGGACGCATTCCTCAGCAGGGCAGCGACTCGTGATTATTTCCATCCATCAGTTAATGGTTTCAACTTTGTACGCGACGTAAAACACAGAAAGATAAGACGCCCAAAAGAATCCCTCAAAATCCATAGTCCTCGGCTCTATATCCTCAGTGTGTTTTTGTTTTATTAAAGTTGGCGTTTGCCCCCCGAATTTTCCTTCAGTCTATTTCAATTAGGGAGGAGCTTGAATGCATTTATTAAAATGTGCCTTTGTTCTTCGACAAAATGCAGCGAGCCGAGTCTCAATGAGGTATTTCTTCGATAGACGTCAGCTACATTTGGGCCTTATTTTTGCACCCAGCTGCATCATTCAAAAGAGCTGCAGTTGTGTCTGTCTAAGGAAATGTATGTGCCGGCTTGTGTCTGTGATGTTTGATTTGTACATATGCCAACATCCCTGTGTGTATGTAAATACTATTTTGTTTGTTTTTGTAATTCCCCGCTCTGCATTTTTACCCAGACATTTAACTGCTAAATGTTTTTGTTTTTTTATTCTCCTTGTGGCTTGTTTTTGTCTTTGTTTTTAGACTTTGAGGTCCAAACGGGAAGGGAGAAAACTATTTGGCTATCCTTAGAAAAACATTTTCACTTCCCAGCTCCTTTTGAAATGACGTCATGTCTGAAAAGGCACAACAGTGTTATTCCACTTTTTTTCATTTTAGAATTACAATGTCAATTAAGACCAGGATCAAACTTTCTCCTGGTCTGGTTGCCCACTCATGATCTCTGCTGTGACCACTGCGTCCATCTTACTGCACCAAACGCACGACTTCTCCAAATACCGCAAACAAATCCCTCCCATCGGCTCAGACTGTTGTTTCTCTGCTTTGTTGTGGCTGCAGCGGCCCTGCCCTTCATCATCATGACCATCGTGTTCAAGCCGTATCAAAGAGGTGTTCACTGTGACGACGAGAGCATCATGTACCCTCTAAAGCCAGACACCATCACCCACGGCATGTTGGCGGCGGTCACCATCTCCTGCACCGTCGTCATCGTAAGTTCCACTTCATCCCCTTCAGTGTTCTAATGATGCTAAATGCCAAATGATGAAGAAAAAAGATTGGATCCTGGCCTGAAGAGAGCTCTTTTTTCCATGTTCTCCCTCATCCCCTCAGATCTCCTCGGGAGAAGCTTATCTGGTCTACAGCAAGAGGATTCACTCCAATTCTGACTTTAACCAGTACGTGGCCGCGCTCTACAAGGTAGTGGGCACCTTCCTGTTTGGAGCCTCCGTCAGCCAGTCGCTCACCGACCTGGCCAAGTTCACCATCGGCCGCCCGAGGCCGAACTTCATGGCCGTGTGTGCCCCCAAGGTCTGCACGGGGTACATGCAGGTGATCAACTGCACTGGAAGGCCCCGCGACGTCACAGAGTCCAGGTAGGAGCGGCACATCCAAGTACTGTAGCTCGGGACGCACACCAATCGCGGCGATATTTTCGCCTGTGGGTATCGGCTGAGTACCGATCTTAATCCAGTCCCTAACGAGTAAGCTACATCTGTTGGAGCCAGTATCATATCGGTGTCTGTGCATCCCTGATTGTAGCAAAGTACCTGCAGCATGATGCTCGGAGATGAAAAATATATAATGAAACCATTTAATGGACACTTATTATTGCATACTGGTGTCTTTGTGCGCGATGATGTGACACATTTAATGGTGCCGACTGTATCGGACGGCTTTAAACAGCCCGCGTGACGCATTTGATTCCCTTCTCCAGATTGTCCTTCTACTCCGGCCACTCCTCGTTTGGAATGTACTGCATGCTCTTCTTAGCGGTAAGTACGGCACGTGAGCTGAAGTCCTACAACGCAGTATAAATATGCATCTCTATGTACAGTAAACAAGGAAAGGGATGTCTGAATCGGGCTTAACAGTCCCCAGCTGGACTCGTCTAATGACAGGCTCCTGCTTTTGGATCCGTGCTTGAGGGCTAATTGTTGAGAAGGACCCAAAACATCTCGTAGAGGTTCGCTCAAGATGTAAGATTCCAGGGAAGGAGCTGAGACGAGTAAAAGGAGAAATGAGCTGAGCATCAGTACCAATGATTAAAGGCAGCTGTGTGAGACTTGTGAGGCGTTCAGTGTTGTAACGTTTGCGGTGTTGTATCTATCCCCTGATCTCTCTCTCTCTTTCTTTCTTTTCCAACCCTTCTCCCCCCCCCCCCCCCTTGCTCTTCTTCCACTTCCTACAGCTCTACGTGCAGGCCAGACTGGTGGCTAAGTGGGCCAGACTTCTCCGGCCCACCATCCAGTTCTTCCTGGTGGCCTTTGCGGTGTATGTGGGTTACACCCGAGTCTCTGATTACAAGCACCACTGGAGCGACGTGCTGGTGGGGCTGCTGCAGGGAGCGCTCGTTGCCGTTCTCAACGTGAGTCTCCACGGCAACTTCTCTCAAGGACAAACGTTGCAAAATTGAAGAATTCCAAAGTGCTATTTCTAAGTCGGGGAGCTTTTCACTTCGGGTCCGGTAAATCAAGATGGTTTTGGCAACTTGCGGGACAAAAATTGTATACAACTACTACAATAAAATATAGGAATAGCTAGAAGCTATTGAGTTGACCGTCTCCTGGCCACATTTTCGGACATTAAGCTGTCTGCGAAGAATCTCCAGCCTCAAACATTGAGTCACACTCCTGTGCTTTCTGGCTTCGGGCAAAGCAAACATAGGTAGGTCCAGATCGTTAAAAAAATGACATTGAGTGGAAATCTTTCTATTAGTTACACTCCCTTCAGAGTGCCGAGCTTTACTTCAGTCTGGCAGTGAAGGAGGGGAATGCAGTGTGGCAACAGCAAAGTGTGACTTGATACAAACCAACACACAAAAGTCCATTCTGCTCACTTCATCCAGCCGGGCGTCCTGATTGTATGACACTTTCCTGTATTCGAGTGACCTGCACCGCCGTGTGTGTGTGTGTGTGTGTGTGTGTGTGTGTGTGTGTGTGTGTGTGTGTGTGTGTGTGTGTGTGTGTGTGTGTGTGTGTGTGTGTGTGTGTGTGTGTGTGTGTGTGTACCTGTGTGTGTGTGTGTGATTGATTGGGAAGTGAGCCCTGCTCCTTTGGCCTTCACAGTGTTATGTGCAAGTGGAAACCCTCTTGGGCTCAGTGTTTTATGGCCTTCAGGAGTTGCGTCTGCTCTCTATGTGTTCCTCTTAGATGTGTGTGTGTGTGTGTGTGTGTCACTCCACAGCTGCGCATAGACCTGCAGAGACGCATAAAATCACAGTTTCCAGCCCAGCCTTTACCTCCTCTGCATCCCTTACATGCTTATACTCCAATTTTTGTTAGTGACCTAAGCTAAAATCCTCTTTCCTGTTTCCTCCTCTCCTCTTCCCTCCCCTCCTCTCCTCTCCAGGTGCACTTTGTGTCCAACTTCTTTAAGAAACGTCCTCCACGTTGCAAAGCGGCAGACGCGGCGGATAGCGACGCGCCGGAGAGGAAACCCAGCCTGCAGATCGCAGACGCCGAACACGGGAACCATTACAACTATCACCACAACCATGGTCCCGTGTGACGGGGGGGGGCCGTAGGGAACCGAGGCTCCAATCCCCCTTTCTCCAACCACTCCCCGCCCCGCCCCCACCCCACACACACCTCCCACCATCACAACCACTGGACTGACTGAGGGGGCGATATTTGACGCCACCAGGTTGCCTGAGCCCCCTCTCAAAGACACCGCGATGACCTCCCTTTCTCGTGTAAGAGACAGACGTGTGAGAGAGGAGCGTGTTGTCCATGAGACGTCCTCGTCGATGTCTCAGGCGTGTGTGTGTGCCTAAAGCTGCGTTAAGCGAAAGACTCCGAACCCACGGCCGCAAAGCTGTGACGCACTGGCGCCTTAAGCCAGAGGCCGACACAGAGGACCGCGGGCATCCCAACGAGAGCCCCCCCCCCCTCGCCCACCGACAAAAGTACGACTTGATATTCACTAGCCCGGGTGCCTTCATGCCCCCTGCAGGTAGAAGTGTGTTCTCTTGGGCGTCATACATGCTCCACTTTCTGTACTCGTCACCATCATTTGACCCGCACCGTTTCGTGGTTGGTTCACTACCTAAACCGCCAGCGGTGTGGGACGGGGGGGTCGGGCTTCATAGTACTAACAACTGTTTGACTTACCCGATCGATTTGATCTGGGTATCACATAAAACGCTTAATGTAGCTATGACCGCTTTTTGTGTAATTTTAATGTCTGTATGTAGAGAACCAAATGTGTTTTCAGCGATGAAAGAAAAAGAGAGGGAGAAAGGCCAGAATGCCGATGATGATGATGATGATGATGATGATTTGCTTCATCCGAGTGCCGCTATTCTTAGTTCAGTCTCGTTGAGTCGTCTCATCAATTGGTCTGGATCCAAATGGAGTGAAGGATATGGAGACTTAAGCTTTAGAGGCTGATCTTGTGTCCAGACTGGGTCGGATTAACCTTCAACAATGGTGACGCTTTTTGGAAAAATGTTTGAATTGAATTGTTTAGTTAGTGAAGGATTTTTGTGTCCCCTGTGTGAGATGGACTGCAGGGTTTAGAAACCATTGATAGCTTTCCTTACTGTTGGACTTAATGTGCCATACCACTACTATACTGCCAATCAAATATCACGCTACTTGCCATCTATCCGGTCTTCTTTTCTCTCTTTTCATTGTGTTTTTTTGTTTTTTTACTTCCCAAATACTATCAATCAAAGGAGGACGAGGCGGCCATTTTGAAAATGGTGTTTTAATTTATTTTAAAAAACAAGACTAGTTTTTTATTTACTCTTTTATAAAGTCGGAAACGTCAGCGCTGTCGAGGTTTTTGTGCAATCAACCCCGCTTGCCACTATGAGCCGCAAATGCTGTATATATACTAATGCTGTGAGACATGTTTCATGTTGTGCGAAGGATGCTTGTGTGTTTTTGTTTTCACTTGGACGTTACATCTTATTTCACCCTGTACACTGTTGCTTTGGCCATCGGGTTCTCAGACGGGCGGCTGTGGGAGTTGCCACACAAACGGATCCAGCTCCAAACATATTCCCACTTCCCCCCCCAAGATTCATCTGCGTTCCTCTTACCCTTCCCCGTGTTGATAGACGGGGTTCATTTGTGAAAAAGGTCTCCTGTGCAGAATACGGACCCCTGGAGGACCAGATCAGACCACAAACCTGAACTGGGGGGGGGGGGGGGGGGACACACACGTTAAGACCGACAGACAGACAGACAGAATATCACCTGGTAGTGATTGTGAGGCCCCAAAGCTGAGCGGGGACCAGAGAAAGGCGGGGTACTTCAGGGGGGCGGGGTGTGGGGTATCCCATGGTGAACCCTTTGCCCCTGGGGACCTCTGCACGTTTAAAACACACATCTGCAATGAGAAACAGCTGGATCCGTGCGAGCCCTCCCCCTGCATCTAAATCACCTGTGTATTATTCCAAAAGAGGACGAGGAAGTAGACTCTGGTCGGCCAATCTCCTGTTTATATGTCCAACGTGGGTGTGATTAAAGGTGTTTGCCTTTTATTATACATAAATTATCTACAGGCTTCAAAACAGAGAATTGTAAATAAATATATAATCACTCAGGTATATTGGTTTGTTTTGATTTATTGATTTAATGTCAGCGATGTTATTGTTGAATCACACCGGACTTTCTAAAATGGTTGAAACTAAGACTTGAAGCACTATGTGTGTCATGTACTTGATAGGTGATGGGAAACACGCTTTCTGCAGAAAAGAACTTTGGAAATGAGATGATGATGATGACGTCGTCGTGGAAGCATCAAGCTGTTCATGCAGAGTTAACTGTAATCCTTTATATTAAGTAACTAATTAAGTAACTTTATAAACATTGTATCGTATAGCATCTGCTCTGCTTGCCCGAAATACAGAACAAATACCTACCAACATTTTCTCACTCACCTCTAGTGCTATTCAGCCAATACAATAAGGGAATAGAAACCTGAAGAAACAGTCAGAGACTGCATCTGTGTTATTTTGGTGGATCACTTTTGTGAAACATCATCAATTTGATTTTGGTTCCCTTGCTCAATATGGAACTCCAACATTAGAATAAATTGCATTATGTGCATATCAAGATCCATCAGGGAAATTTGCATTCACGCACCAACCGCCAAGACAAATTCCTTGTATGTTTGACATATTTTGGCAATAAATGTTTCTTGATTCCTGATTCAGAATTTTTCACAAAAAGAAGAATCCAAAGCAGGTGCTGAGGATTCAGGAAGGGGTTAATCGGGGCTCCCGCGCTGCCGCCGCGTGTCCCTGTTGGAGAATGGATGTGGCTCTACAAAAATAAACATGTATTTATAACTAAATAAACCCTGACTGGACCCATGGGGACGTCTGCGGGAGTCGTGTTGGCAGCGCTATTGAAAGCCACTGTCGTCCCTCGTTTAAAACGTTATGACTCACTCGCACGTTTTGAAAGTTGTGCGTGCGATCGGCTATCACTCAGAGGGCCGCCACACAACAGGAAATGGGAAACATTAAGGTGTTTTATACACACTTCATTTTCTACAGGATGATTTCTAAGTGTGAGCTCACAGCCTTCTCTTTTATTTCTCTTGAGATTCAAATGCGTATTCATTCTGAATATATTATCCCCATGCTGAACAATAAATCTACCTTGTTACATTATGAGACGTTATCTCCACGGTGACCGGAGGCCTTTCTGATCCTGCTGAACAGGATGTCTTCCTGCGGTCGTAAACAGCAAGGCCCTATTCATCAGATGTCTCTATCTGCCCGAGGGGGTTAATGGGGCAGAGGAAACCGGAGCTCTGCTGGATGAATACATTCTTATGGCTTTGGTCACCAGACTATCCGCATGCTGTGAACAGCCAAAACAATGTGCAGTAACTGTATGAAATATTGTTCAGCACGATCTTGAACGAAATGAACATGGTGCAAGTTGTTGTTTTAAGACCGTGAAACAAATGTTAAAATCACGTGCTGTGTCTGTTCTGGTGACAAACGTGTCGAAACAAACGCAGCCTGGTGACAGGTGGAGGTGGAGAGGAGCGGTTTTGTGGAAAACCTCAGCAGTGGACTCGGCAAGGCGTTTCTCTATGGCAGAGGTCTTCAACAGGGGGTCCACGACGGGGTCCGCGGAGTTCTGCAGGGGGTCGCGAATTTTTTATTATTTAAAAACAAAATGTCAACCAATTTTCTTTCCACAAATTTAAATGTCTTTAGAATCAGAATTGTATTTATTGTCTGTAAATACAATTAACATGAATCCAACATATTGTAGAAACGGATAAATTGATGGAGGAGACGTTGTCTTTCAGTCCCACAGCAGCTCTCAAGCTGATACGACATCACAGCCAATCAGATCCATTCATGCTCACGTCTAAAGAGGGCGGAGCTCAAAGATAAAAGATGGAGGACCAAACTCCGTAGAACAGGGGGTCCCTTCTGCATCTCGCCATCAGCCTGGGGGTCCTTGGCCTGAAAAACGTTGAAGACCCCTGCTCTATGGCTGTATAACTGAGCGTCCCTCATGCAGTGTACAGGTATATTCCTCCGCTCCCTTCAGGCCTTGGTTCACTGTTAAAGAGTTCCCATCAAATAGGTAATAGTTCAACTACTGAATTACATTAAGTTGAAGTCGGAGAAGTAGCGGGATCCTCAGATGGATGGAAACCAGTGGGCGTGACGGTCAGACGAGTCACGATGGAGCCACGGTTAGTTAGTGTCCCGCCTGACATCCCTAAATAAACAGACAAGAAGCCACTTAAAAAGCGGAGGGAATGGGCCGTAAAACTGAAACAGACACGGAAGAGACCTGAGCTGCTTTACATGAGTAGGATACCCCTTTTCCACCAACAAGCTAGAGCAGGTTCGGAGTTGGTTCAACTGACGAGCCTCCAAACTCCCGGCCTCCCGGAACTGTTTACATGCAGTTCTCAGCACTCTGAGGGGGAAATGTGCGTCTCAGAAAGGGCATTAAGTGCCCCACAATCACACACCGGCCGTGACCCCGGCAGTCAACATCGCCGCCTCAGGAACTCCTTCTTCTGACCCCTGCGGTCACACTTGAGAGGATTGGGAGGTGTCACAGAGAGCCGCTTCTGTAACGTTCTCGTCGTGGGGACATTTGTAGCTTGGCGCCGCATTCTGGCAATTAAAATGCCTCCAGAAATGAGCCTCTTGTTTTTTCGCTTCCTGCTTTTCTATTCCGCTGTCTAACATCCACGCTTACTCCCACGCAGACCTACATTATTGGAGCTTAGTTTTAGGCCCTATAGGCTTCCATGAAACATTGATTGTTTATTCAAGGATATGATTTTTATGAGAAATTCAAAGGAAATCCAAAAGGAAGATGATCAACCGTGTTCGGCCTTTATTGAAATGATCCAGGCTGTCTGTGTAAGACAATTTCCTATTTCCCTTTAGAATTACCACGCTGAGAGCAACCAACTACCCTGCAAATCGGTGTCCTTAAACCTGTGATTCACTTCCGAACATCTCCTCTCCACAGCAATGATTGAGTGCTTTACAGCAACCGCAATTACACCACTCGGCTGTGGGACGAGAGTACGAGCGCGAGGTGTCGGGCAATGATGATGACGAAGACGATGATGATGATGATGATGATGACCACATCGACGATGAGGATCCTAACCCTTGACCGCGAGAATCCAGTCGGCTGCAGCAGAGACGCTGCGCGGTGGCAGATAACAGCAGATAGTACGTCAGCGTCACTGAGGTCCCACCACACGGGGACTAATACCTGACATGCAGGCTGCTGCAGGGGAGATCCCATCAGGCAAACCCAGCTCCTGCAGAGGGAAAGTCAGCCTGTGGACCTTTGAAGGAGCAGCCTCTAAGAGTTGGTCATCCAGCAATGACATTGCATTTTGGCAACGTTAAAAAAAACAAACCCAAAGGCTTCTGTAGAAACGATATGAAATGATAATTCAGTTTCAGGTGAGTAAACAGTAATGACAATATAGTTATGAAATTCTATTTCACCTTACACAGTGATCCTTTAGGGTAACTGAAATCATATTATTATACAGTTTAACCTCCATTAATCTTTTTATAATAGCCTGTCTTGTATTGTTTTAGCAAATGTCGGTCATATTCTGATAAGAACTAATCAATGGTCAAAAGTAGCTCGTGCCCAGCCTTTGGGCAGTGCGGTCTGAGCTGCTGATAAAATAAAATTGATAATAGAACCAGAGATAATCCAGGTTCTTATCTCTAAATCTCCACTTGCAATATATATACGCCTCGCTGCAGCTTCCCTGCACATTTCTGATGGAAATATTCAACAAACATCCCCCTGATTTCATTCTGTATACCCCATTCTAGAGGAATAGTTCTCGCTCCAGTGAAATGTTTAATTTTCTTTGAAGCTGTAAGTATCAGCCCCTCCACTGGTTCTGTTAGAGTCCCAGTTTTAATCCTGATTTGGGACCAGTTCTAACAGCCTTCATGACGGCCGAGGACGTGTTGGACTGATTTCATCTCCCTGCTTCGGCCTTGGGACCACATTGACCTCCCCGGGGGTGATGCATAGAAGAATATTTCCTTTCACGTAGTCATCCACTCCCGTCCTGCGTACGTGACTCAACAACGTGGGAGAAATACGCGGGGGAAGACTACGTCGAGACAAACAACAATGATCTCCTTAAATCCTGCTCTAATCTGTATGATGACGCCAGTTGGATTTCTGCCGCCGTCTAAACTACTTACAGGGACTTGGATGATGTCCATTCTTAAAGATCATTTATTTTTCTAGATATCAGTCCAATTTCGAACTCGGCAATGTGTTTTGCAGACGTGTCACTCTTCTCTCCAATGGAAAGAAAGAAGTGGTAAGAAAAAGGTAGTGTGGCAGGAGCTGCTTTTGGCCCGAGTGGAGATGCCCTAAGCGGTTTTAGGAGGTATCTAAAGCACCAGCGGTTCCGGCCTCCAGTCTCTTAGCCTGTGCATGACGTCGGGGTGGGGGGGGGGCGGCTTTGGGGGTCCTTGCACATTTCCTCCAGGCAGCCTGCAGAGAGAGGGCCAGAGAGCTAAAGCAGCAGCAGCAGCAGCTTCCAAAGCTCACCACTACAAACAGCGACCCCCATGAGGGATTTATTACACACGTGTTCCCCTCTGCTCCGGCTTTCACGTCGCTCCACTTCCACCCTGCAAGTCGCGCAAGACTTTATGGTTTCACGGTGAAGTGGAGAACGCGCCTCGCTGCATGCGGAACGGTAGCGACACAGAGAGGTAAACACACCTTGGGCCCGTTTCTGGAGGCCCAAGGCCCGCGTTGCTCCCTGCAGCCGTGGCCAAGTGGATGAATAAAGGCTGCAGTTATCAGTTAACAAGAGCTATAATCGGGGAAGTCTGGGTTTTTTATCGCTGTCGACATGTTTTCCCCCGAGGAAATACTAATACACAGTGACCGACCATAAAGGACCACCCATCTCATCAGACGAGGAAGAAGTGTGTCCCTCACACGGCTACGTTGCAGAATTCAACCCAAGACATTTTCATAATGTTATGTTTAGGTTTGGGTTGCAGATAGTGAGGCATTGTTTTGCAGATGATGAGATGCAGGTCTGGCA